TTTTGTGTAGATTTTTTATGATATCTTGCGATAGCTCTTTTCTCGCGCAAGCCTTGCAATGTAATAAGCATAAGAATCGTATGCTCTTGTCGTTTGGCTGTTCATTTTTTACTTTTGTGGTTTCGGCAGGTAAGTTTCGTCACGGCTGCTAAAGATAAGAGGCGTCTTCACCTTTATAAACTAGCCTGGAATAAGAAGGATCAATTTATCGATATGTAGTCTCCAGAATGTGTTTTGTTGTTTGTTTGTTGTTTAAAAATGTTTCAGTATTTCATCCTACGAAATGCCTTGTTTTAGGTGAAACAATTCTATTTCTTCGACGCTGGCCCGATTCCACCTCCAGTTATTATGGTGCAACATGTATCGTTCCGTTATAGTGATACTACGGTAGATTTTGCTACTAATATTTGATCTTTGCAAATGAGCCTTGGAAAAAAACAAATATTTATAGCCATGGATCTATAGGAATATTGATTTTGGGATTGATCTCGATACACGTGTAGCATTGGTTGGACCAAATGGAGCAGGGAAGTCTACTTTACTGAAGCTGCTCTGTTCTGATGTGATGCCCACCGATGGTCTTATCAGGCGACATTCTCATGTTAAAATTGGCCGCTACCATCAGGTACAAGATTCAGAATGCAAATAGGATGTGAAAGTTGCACGAAGATTGAGCGGAGACTCTGGCATGTTCGGATGCACATTGAACATCATTTTGAATCGTGCAGATGTATTCTTCACCTCTCTATCCCATTTTACATTTTCTAATATTTTCCCGCTATCTTTCGCACTATATCAGTGCTATGGCACTGCTATAGTTCTTGTTGCGGTTTCTCTGTGCGGTTGGTCTGTTTGACGTGTTACATCTGAGAAGCGTCAAGGTGAGTTTATGTAATTCCTACGACGGCTGTATCCAATTAATCTTCAAGGGTGTGGTAGGTAGTGCTAGTTTATAGTACTAGCGAAAAAATCCATTAACGGGGCTGGCTGATTTCCTGTTATCTCCAAGTCACATTCCTGCATGTAGATCATTTGTATACCTAGTTTATTTTCAGTTCTGTGGTCATGTCAAAAAGTCCACCGAAACCCCTTTTATCCGTGAATACGGCAAGAACAGATAGCGCCAACATTAATACAGAACGTGAAGGGGCTGGACGTGCAGCTGTTACGCCGAGGCGTCCAAAAGCTCATAAGAGGCGTACTCGACATGGAGGAAAATCTGTTTCATTTTCCAGATCGACTTCTAACTCAATTAGCGATGAAAGTGAGATTGGTTTTGTTCATTTTCTTTTTCAAGCCTTAGGTGTCCTTTTTGATAATTATTCAACTGCACGAGTTAGCATCACTTGAGATGCTCCTTGTCTTTCTCTAGGTAGTCACGCCTCTAGTATATTTAATGAGAATACCGCCGTCTCGTTAGGTCTTTGAATCCTTTCTGTGGTACTTACCACCCTTTGGTTAGCTTGGTGGTCGAATGAGTTCATTGTTATCAGTTCTATGAACTTGTTTTCTTGAAACTTCATGATAACATCCACTCTGCATGTAGCCGTCATTTGACTAACTCAAAGTGCTCGCAGCGGTCTTTTCCGAACTACTGACCCAACCTCTGCATCTTAATGAGTGACTGTGAGTTGAGGTGGATCATATATTAGGTTACGTATTCATGAGAAACTGCAACATCTAAGTATTGCTTTTGCGTTTCTCGGAATGCTATTTTCGATATGGTAGTGATAGTCAGTTGGGTACCAACAGTACGCATCAACTCGGGAGAATGGTGCAGCTTTTGTCTAGCTCTTGTAATGTAATGTTCTTAAAGGCGAGGGCGGGCCTGTACCGTGACAATCATTTCCATAGTAAAAGTCCTGAAGAAATAATTCTCAGATACGCACGGCAGCGCGATGCACTCTTCGTTTGCGCTCTCATGGTGAGCAAAGGAACATCTCGACCTGAACATCTGAAGGTCAGCTTGAGGAATTTCCTTGACCAAGACTGGGATAAGGGGCAGTTCGGATGAACTGCTCTGATCCCAGTCTTGGTCAAGGAAA